ATTATACCCTGATTTCCCATTTTCAATGGGTTCAGGGTATAAAAAAAAAAACACAAAAACCCACAAACAAAATCCATTGGCATTGAACTCTGAGCACAGCTGGCGCTAATCTCTCCCAGCCGCGAGATCTAAAATCATCTAAGCTCATGTGGAGACTTTTAGTGCGCGCATCGCCAGCGGCTTTATCAGTTAGCAAGCGGACGGCAAACTAGGCACAACAGACTAAATCGGGCACATATATACTATATACGTACATATGTAAAGCATATATAGAGGAAATCAAATAATTTATATACAAGCCGTGCGATGATGCTGGAACTGCTCTGCCTGTGGCTGCCTCTGCTGAGCCAGCTCTTGGCTGCAGATCAACGTAGGTACACATAATAGAATAGATCTACGCCCGATTATACCCTGTTATTTCGTATATACAGCCTATGTAACGCTGCGCGAGCGCATTATGAAAGCGGAGCAGATGGCCTCGCTGGGCGGCAATCTCTGGCTCACGGCGGATGAGGAGAAAGCCAACAGCATTCTCATGATTGCCAAGCGGGCGGAGATAGCCGAGGGCATCAAGTACCCGGAGAAGTACGCGCCAGCCATGCACTTCTTTCAGGGCAAGCAATATGTGCGCCAGAGCGACGTCTTTCGCATCATACAGAAGATGCCGAAGGGCGCCTTCCTGCACGGCCACAACACGGCCATGGTCAGCTCCAAGTGGATCATCTCGAATCTCACCAACACCAACAATCTCTATACGTGCCGGGACATAAATGGCGTGCTGATCTTCACCTACGACACGGCCAGCTCCAACTGCCACAGCGAGGAGCAGAATGTCTGCACGGAGCGCATCAATGCCGAGGATCGCCATCAATATGAGCGTCAGCTGGAGAAGCACATCAACATGCACACCACCAAGCCGGAGAGTAAGTGCCAGCCATCTCTGTCCATGATCTACCCCAACTCTAACCTCAATGCCCCATAGCGCTGATGCCCAACAAAAAACTGATTTGGAATCGATTCGAGAACATTTTCACCACAGTGGATCGTCTCTACAAATATCAGCCCACCTACTGCGCCTACCACAAGCGTCTGCTGGAGGAGCTCTGCGAGGACAATATCATCTATGCCGAGATCAGAGCTTCGCTCTCGCCTGTGAGTATGCTATGAAAACTTTGAAGACCACAATCGAATATAAAGTTGATTTGCTTGCTCAGCTCTATGACGACAACAATCGCACGTATAGCTCGCTGGACGTGGCCAATCAGCTGGAGCGCATTGTGGAGGAGTTTAAGGCCAAGCATCCGGATTTCGTGGGCCTCAAAGTCATCTATGCGAAACGCAATCGCGCTTCGGAGGAGAAAATGGCCGAAAATATACGCACCTTTAAGCAGCTACAGTGAGTACTCAGATAACTGAACTCGATTCATCACGAACGAGCATTGTTTAAGTGATAGAGGGTGAATAATTTCTTAGGATTGAGCTGAGATATCTCTTTAATCTTCAGTTTTTAATCCTAGACTAGCATTTGGAATATATACCAAAATAAAAGGGTTTTTGAGATTCCAGGTATTTTCCGATATGCCACGCCCCATGGTTTAACAACAGCAGCATCAATAAACTAAATATATCATTATCATTATCAAAATTCTCAGCTCTGCAAAGCCGAACTTCATAATTGGCTTCGATATGATTGGCCAGGAGGACACGGGAGATCCGATTAGTAAATACGTGAATGAGCTTTCCGATATGCCCAGCACGGCGAACTTTTTCTTTCATGCGGGCGAGACAAGTAAGTGAAGCAGAACCCACACAGCCAAAACAGCAATATCTATAGTAATACTCTTCCCTAGATTGGTATGGTCGCGCAGACTGGAATATGATGGACGCGATATTGTTGAACACGAAGCGCATTGGACATGGGTTCGCACTGCCCAAGCATCCACAATTGTGGTCGACGATCAAGAAGCGTAACATTGCCATCGAGGTGAATCCGCTGTCCAATCAGGTGCTGGGCTTCATCTGGGATCTGCGCAATCATCCCGCCAGCTTTCTGATAGCCGAAAACTTTCCGATTGTCATATCGGCGGATGATCCGGGCGTTTGGGGCGCCAAGGGACTCAGCTACGACTTCTACTATGCCTTCATGGCAATGGCGCCTGTCGAAGCGGATCTGCGGTTCCTCAAGCAGCTGGCATTGAACTCCATGAAGTATTCGGTGCTCAACTCGGTGGAGAGGCGCAAATTCAATCGGGTGTTCCAAAAGAAATGGCAAGAGTTTATTGCGAACATCATAAATCCAAAGTTCGTGTAGGAACTAAGCTAGACTTTAAGGCAAATACAAACAGAGCTTAACTAAAAGTTAAATACTTGACATGCACTTTAAACTGCATTCGGAGCAAACCAGCCGTGCAGGCACTTGGGCACCGGCCCATTGGTATGAAAGTCACAGCGTCCCAGCTCCGTCATGGTCTTGGCACAGAGCACTATGAGACCCACATAGCAATCGTTGAGTCCGCCACCCACGACCATGGAGGCCAGGATGACGCCATCGTCCTCGCTCTGCGGCTGCGGTGCGGCCACAAAAATGGGCTCCGATGGATAGACATTAGCCTCGCACCAAGTCTTGCAAGTTTTGCTCACCACATCCACCTTGATGAGCTGGTGAAAGAAAGAGAGAGAGAGAGAGAAAGAGTATTATTAAAACTAGACAGCAAAGTCTCAGCTTAGCTTACCGTGCCCGGATTCTGTGCATCCACATCGGAGCTGATGGCATAGAAGTAGCGATAGTTCTTGCCCATATGCCGTTCGTAGTAGATCCTGGGCGTCTCACAGCCCCAGTCGCAGAGCATTTCGGGCCGCAGATAGATGCCCGTGGCACCCTGGTAGGCCTCTGCTTGAGTATTCCGCAGTGTGACCAGGTTGACGCAGTCGTCCTCGTCGTACCTGGCACGCTTCGACTCCTTGGTGGGAGTCTCCTGCTTGCCATTGGTGGCCATGTAGGTAATGTCCGCATACTGGGAAGCGGAGTGTTTGAGGAGCGTGGGCGGCGGAGCCGTCAGACCCACCAGGGACAGCGACTTAACAAGGCGCCGCTTGCTGGAGCTGCACGAACTGCCGGCACCCAGAGGCAGCACAAAGCGCAGAGGTCGACCACGAAAGTGCTGGGCATAGTTGGGATTCGTCTGCATATTGGCTATGGCCTCCAGGTACATGCAGTTGATCATCTCCGGGTTCTTATAGCTGCATATGTCCACCACCACGTGGCCATCCTGCTCGTAGGCGTTGATGATGTGCAGGTAGAAGAAGGCTTCCGATTCGTAGGTCTGCACCAGCTTCCCGCTCGCTCGCTCTATCAGATGAAACAGCGTGGGCTTATCCTCATACCACTTCAGGCAGGCCGCCAGATGCTGATTGGACAGCTGCGCCTTGATGTACTCCGTCAGCGAGACGGACATCGGCTGCTCCACAATCACGAAGTAATGCTCGGTCAGCCCGAAGGTGTGCATGTAACCAGGATGTAGTTTCCAGCGGCAGGGCAGCGTGGTCACCACATGCGCATCCTCAAACATGTGCTCTCCATTGGGAAAGCAGATTATGGCATACGCCGGCCCGGACTTGGTCATGCTGATGCCCAGATTGTAGACGGTGCCACTGGGCAGCACATGCGGATGCGAGGTGTGGTTGATGATGCCCACAAAGTCGCTGGTGCAAATGCGCGCCTCCGTGGCAAGTGTGCAGGGATTTATGCTGAAGAGCGAGAGGAAGATAAAGAGAGAGAAAATGAGAGACTGAGTCAATTAGAGAAAGAGAGGGGAGAAATCTAGGATAAGGAGAGAGAGGGAAGAGAGAGAAAGATAGGGATAGAAGACAACATATTCTTTATACATACGAGAGCTCTTCTTCACATATCTTCACTTATCTATACATACATTTACATAAGTAATATCTCTATATTAAGTATACGCACCGATGCATAAATGGTGTCTCGGTCAAGGTATAATACTGATCGCCAAACGGATAAATCGATATCATCGAGTTGTCGGTGCCATTGTCCGGCTTAAAGATCGCACCGAATTTGTCAAAGATCGAGTGGCATGGATCCGGCACGGCAGCAGTGCCGAATTCCGTGACCACAATGCGCTGGGCGGCGCGATTCTTTTGCAACGTCTGCGTGTCCACGAAGCGATTCTGGTACGTGACGCGACCGTTCTTGATGGCAAAGCGATGCAGCAGCGCCGAGCAGTCGAAGAGGTGGCCAAAGCTCATCTCGCCCACCTTCCAGCTGCCGGGCCCGTTGCGCAACAGGCTGCCGTTCAGCCAGTCGGGTATATGACCGCTGGCATGACCCTCGATGGGCTCCACAATCTCGCGCTCGCACGAGCGCAGCCACACGTCCGACGCGCAGTTGGGATAGTAGCGACCGTTGCCATCCAGGCGCGTCGCCTCCGGATCAGCCCGCTGCTCATCATAGTTCACCTGCGGAGGAAGAGCGAGGCATTAGCCGACTATTGATTGACACGATTTTCCTTAAGCTGCATTTCAGCCGCCGATTAATGTGGATTAGCTGCAAAGGTTTCGCATGCCACGCGCTAAATCAGCTGCGATAATTCCCAGCGAGCTCGGGCCAAGCACAGAAACTGTTTCTCTCACACACACACACACACACTTGACTTGATACACTTGAAATTGATTTGAAGTTCAAGTATTTTAGTATTTTTTGGCACACTTTTGGATAAAATCGATTTCAAATTTTTGTGGAAAATTTACAATTGTTATTTAGAGGAAGAATCGCAGAAACTAACCGCAAAAAAGTCGCGCATAAAGCTCTTGAAGACGCGTGCGGACATTTTGTAACGGATGTGGCCGGAACAAAAACATAAACAGAACCGAAACGAAACGAAAATCTCGAAATCAGGTACACCCTGACAGCAGTCTCTAGGCCCCACTCGAGACAGAACGGCGAGCGAGCAGCTAGAAAACCAAATGACAACTGGCATAGTTAGCCAAGCCAGTCGCCGCTCGTCAACTGCTTGAGTGGGGTGGCTGGTGCCTCTCTGTGAGGGGAAGGGAGGAGGACTGTGTGCAGGGGGCCAGCGACCCTCTGGCAGGCGGTGTGCTGTGTGCTGCCGCATTATTCATAATTTTGATTGACAGCCCCGTCACCAGAGTCGTGCGGCTCGCTTGTAAGCCACACCGAAAAGCCCAAGTAGAGCCAAAACAAATGTGGAAATATACAAACATGTATGTGTGTGTGCATTTTTGCCGCTTCGGCAACCTGTGAGCACTACCCACGTCTAGGGCAACTTCTTAGACTAACATTTTATAGCGTGCTTAAAGCACTCCAAGAAATTTAATACACATACCCGCAAGTCGGACTGTCTGACCTTGTTAATGCGCCATTCTTTTACTTCATTTTCCATATGACTCGCAGAAGCCACAGCAAAGCTTAGCGGAACGGCAGCCAAATGGATGGCCACATGATGATCAAGTAAGTTATGCAATATGCAGTCTGTTGTGCAATATTTGGTCCACCCTAAAGCCAGAGCTAGCATAAATTGCGCATACGACACGTGGGCCGCGGACACACATTTGTTTTGGATTTAAGTTCATGATCATTTCAATTAACAATAAGCACAGGCAGCAGCTTAGTCTTTCACTTTAGCAATTGAAACTCATGAAAATGAATTTTCATGAAAAGCGCCCGTCAGGTGCATCTCGAGCATTGCCCCAGTTTGGCGTAGCTCAAATTGATGTCAATTGTCTTAGCTGGCCCAGCTGTAGGCGCAGTTCGTCGTATTTATACAAATGCAGCATGCCAGCGTGTTACATTTATGAAAATGCATATCATATTGCTAAAAATAGCATTAAAAAAATCATAAGCTCATTATTTCCGCGAGATTTATCAAGGTTATACGATTTTATATTTTGCAATTTGTTATCTTTTAATTTGATTTCTTATCGAAATAATTTCTTTTACATATTTATTTAATAATTTACTTAATTTGCTTCTTATTTGTTTTTGTTTTTTATTATTTGTTATTATTTTGTTTGTTTAATGTTTTAATTAGACGTTAGCTTAGATTTGCCGCTGGTGTTGCACAGCGCTTACGCACAATTGACTGTTGTCCAACACTGGACGCACGCATCAGCTGTTGCCTGACAACAAAAACAATCAAACGGCGCAGAACAGCGCCAAACGTAAATAGTAGACAAAAAATGCAGATGTGATTTGAATTAACAAATTTGTTGTCCAACCACAGCAACGAAAACTTTCTGGATAGCATCCCCTTTGACGAATGCGTTAACTCCATCGATTGCGGAGGCGACTACAACTTGGACTCGGTGCCTGCCAGCGGCTGCTACAATCAATACCACTGCCCGTGCGAGATGAACGCGCGCCAGAATCTGGGCACATCATGTGCGGGCGCCAGTCGCATACCCAGGGCCGCGGCAAGGCCGCGTCAAAGTCTATCGCCACGCATTAACTACGCATTCCAGCCGGTGTTCCACGAGCGCACCAGCAAGGAGGATGATACGCTGCTCACCGATACGCTGTGGAAGCTGGCGCGCAAGACGGGCACACTAAATCTGACCAACAAGGGCATGGCACGAGGTAGGTCATCAAATATCAATATTGACGTTTGCAATTGTGTGTGCGTATGCGTGTGTGTGTGTGTGTCTGTGTGAGCTTAGGTGTCGTGGTGTCGGCAGAGCAAATGCGTCGCTGGAACTCCATGAAGCCGAAGGTCGAAGCACGTTCGGATGCGATCGATGGTAGATACATGGATAGCAGCGCCTTGTGGTTTCTCTATATGTAGATGCGATTGCCAGCGTTTGTCAGCCAGATCTCGAACTTGCCCCTGGCTGACCGTAGAAGGCGCCGTGCATATTACACGCCTCACTGGCCAGCCGAGTGACGCAATCCCTAACAATAACTGTGTTTGCTGCCCGCCGTTGTTCAGTTTGTGCGCGGCGCTCGTTGCCTGTAGAAGTGTCGCTAGTGTACGAAAAATATCCTTCAAGATTGCGTCCTCGAGGCAAACACGCAAGCAGCTGACGTCGTTTTGTATGTGTGGTCCGCATCCGCGACGACGACGCTACTATCAGATACGGGAATTTCAAATGGCTTCGTCCGCCGATGAGCTAGAGAGCGAGGATCCCGATGATGAGATCGAACTGGATGATCCAGCGCCACAGCAGCCCAATCAAGATGACAGCACAGCCGCCAGTAGAGAGAGAAAGAGATAAAAAATTGAGTTCCACAGTGATTTCTAATGCTCATCCGCCTTCTCTTGCAGTGCCCGAACGTTTGTTTGACATCAATGAGGCCGATGCGGACACCAAGAAACGCACTCTGGAGCAGTTGTCCATTAACGAGGAGGACGCCTGGTGGAATCAGGTGCCCCTCAACAACCTGGACTTGAGCTCGAATGCCTTGACGCACATTTCGCCCAAAATCGAGAATCTGTCGACGCTCACCGTACTCCAGCTGCATGACAATGCTCTGGTCGAGCTGCCGCCGCAGATTAGCAAGCTGGAGAAGCTGGTGCGCCTGAATCTTAGCCACAATAAGCTAAAGGAATTGCCGCCCGACCTCTACAGCTTGCCAGAGCTGCGGCATCTGAACATATCGCATAACGAGTTCGAGGAGCTCAATCCGGACATTAGCAATCTGCACATGCTGGAGTTTCTGGTAGGTGGCTTCAGTACAGCTATACGAAATGGTGGTTCTGGTTATTAATCGCAATTAATCCCAATCTAATTAATCCTCCCCCACTTACACACTGATCCAATTGCTTTGCTAACACGTAACGACACAAGGATGCTGGGAACAATAACATAAACAGTTTGCCCGGTGGCATTGGGTTTCTGGTGCGTCTAACGGCTCTGCTGCTGGCCAATAATCACATCAAAGAGCTGCCGCCCGATATTGTCTATATGCGCTGTAAGTTGGCGATAATTAACTTAGCTAATGCCGTAGTAATCCTGGCTCATGGCTCCTGGCTCAAGCTCTGCAAAAGCTGGACCTCATGAAGAACGATCTGGTCGCCCTGCCCGAGGACATGGGTCTGCTGCGCAAGCTGCAATTCCTCTATGTCCAGCACAATGACATCAAGGAGCTGCCCAGCTTCGACGGCAACGAAATGCTCAGCGAACTCCACGCCAGCAATAACTATATCGATGTGAGTGGTTCGACGTGGAATGTGTATTTATAAGCTGATTGCTCATGTCCATCGTGTCCTTGCAGCACGTGCCCAAGGAGCTATGCGAGAATTTGCCACACTTGAAGATCTTGGATTTGCGCGACAACAAGATCACCCAGCTGCCCGATGAGGTGTGCCTGTTGCGCAATCTGAATCGGCTGGACATCACAAACAATTCCATCAGCGTGCTGCCCGTTACGCTGTCCACGCTGGCCCATCTGATCAGCCTCCAGGTGGACGGCAATCCCATCAAGACCATACGACGCGACATTCTGCAATGCGGCACAGCTCGCATCCTGAAAACTCTGCACGATCGCGCCCAGGCCAAGGAGCGGACGGATGGCGGTGCCGACGACCTGCCATGCAGCAGTTCCGCTGCGGGTAGTCAGCTGTCCATGCAAAAGCAGCAGCAGCAGCAACAGCTGCCTGCCAACATGACCGACAAGTGAGTAATTGCTCAATGGGAACTATTTTTCTGTTATCAGGCATTGATCCAACGACGCAGCAGCTATCAGCAGCCCAACTGCGCACAGTCGCCATTCATGCGCTGCCATTGTAGATGTCAATGCCAGCATTTTATGCAGCATCAGCAGCAGCACCTGCTGCAACAGCAGCCGGAGCAGCGGTATGCCTTTTACTATCAACAGTTTGCCGAGAAATATGAACAGGAACAACAACAGCAGCCTCATCAGCCTCATCACCATCAGCAGCAGCAGCAGCTAGATCAGCTTCAATTTGGTCAAGCTAATCAATATGCGCCACAGCCACAAATGATTTATCGGAACAGCCATGGGGGCCATTATATGCCCGGTTACTCAGGCATGCCCGTATCGCAACTAGACGCATTTAATCCGTACAATCGTTGTGTTGTGCAACCTCGTTGGGTGTAGTGTATCACCAAGTTCCAATGGACATTAGCTTAGTTAAAGTTTCTCATATTCTTGCAGAACATATGCTAGTTTATATTTACCCAATGCCTATTAAATATGTTTAAGGGCAGAACTCTCTATACCTGGCCTGTAAAGCTCAGTATAGATCCATAATCTTGTTGTATACTCGCTTATATGAATTCCTGTCTGTGTTAATTCTATCTAATGTCTCTATAAAGAGATTCCGTTTATCCTCTTCCTGAAACTATGTCTATGTATCTGCAAGGCTATGTAATCTTCGATACTGCGAAGATAACTGTCCTACTCCATTTAGATCTCGACTAACACGTATTACACACTCCCATTTGCCATCTTACAGATACAAACTGCGACATTCACGCACCTTAGCTGTGAATTTGGAAGGCCTTACTGATGTGCCCGCCCACGTCTTCGAGCTGGCCAGCGAGGAGAAGGTGCACGTGGTGGACTTTGCGCGCAATCACCTAAGTACCCTGCCCAAAGGGTGAGCACACTATACACACTATAATAACAATAATAACCAACGATTATTTCTCAGTTTGCAGCACATGTCCGATCTGGTAACGGAGCTGGTGCTTTCGCACAATGTCATTAACAACGTGCCACCTTTTATATCGCAATTCACGCGCATAACATTTCTAAATTTGTCCAACAATTTGATCAAGGACTTGCCGCAGGAGTTTGGGCTGCTCAACACGCTGCGTGAACTGAACATTGCCAACAATCGGTAGCTAATGTCACATCACTTATGCTAATTACCAAAACTAATGTTGGGCGCATTTGCAGGTTTGAGGCACTGCCTAATGCCTTGTACGAGCTGCAGGGTCTGGAGATTCTGATAGCCAGCGATAATCAAATTAAGGCCCTTAATGTGGCTGGATTGCAGAATTTGCCACGCCTAAGCACGCTCGATTTGCGCAATAATAATATTGAACATGTACCGCCTACATTGGGAAATTTGACAAATATTACGTGAGTCGTCTTATACACTACTATATTCTATCTAATATATTCCCTTATATATTACAGTCACTTGGAGCTGGTGGGCAATCCATTCCGTCAGCCGCGCCATCAGATTCTCATGAAGGGCACAGACTCTATAATGTCCTATCTACGTGATCGCATACCCACTTGAGATAACCACAGCAGCAACAGCAGCAGTAACAACCACAACAAGGGCAGCAACAACCACAACACACAGACAACAAAAATCACAATTCTCATCTATTATTGAATTCATTTATATTGTTTAGCACATGTGCTAAGCGCAGATTTATTATTTACTATTGTGTTGATACCGTGACAGAAGCTAAACTAAATTTAAGCAGCGTTCACACACGCACACACACACACATACACACATGCACATTAGCTGTGTGCGTGTGTGTGTTTGTGTTTGTGGGCGTCAGAAGCGCGTAGTACCTTGTAGCATTTAACCACGAACACCCTGTAACACACACGTACACAAGTGAACTAGTCAGCGTTTGGGCAACATGTACACACACACACACACAGGACGCACCCTGTTTAAACTTTGGCCATAAAGCTTGCAATAAAAAAAAAAATAAATAAAACTAAACTCCAAATAATTATGATAGCCTCTTCTTCTTCTACTGCTCTCAATTGTGCTCGACGACTTCGCTGCGCAGCCTTTTGGCCAGCGTGCGTCGCAGCTGCAGCGCCGCATTCTCCGCCTCATCCACCGCCTCGGGCGGCTTGCCCAGCTCCACATTCTCGAGCAGCTGCTGCGCCACCTGCGCGGAGCTGGGACGTGCGCCTGGCTCGAGCGGCAGCTGGGGCGTGCTGCGTGCCACCGTCTCCTGCAGCTGCTTGGCGCGTGTTTGCTTTTTGATCTCCACGATCTTGTCGCGCTGCTGGCGCAAATATTGTTGGCGTGAGATGACCTCATTGGGGTCCACCTTATCCTCCTGCTCGAAGAAGAGATTCAGGCGCTGAAACTTATCATTCACCAGCTCCAAATTGGCATCCTGCTCAGGCGTTAGGGCAGCCTCTGGACTCTCCAGCTCATTGGCCACCGTTTTGGCAATCAGTGCATCCACATCCAAGTCAGCTACGCCATTGCTGGCAAGGATTCGATGAGCATGGAGTGGATTACAATACTATAGTATATCTACCCGGCCTCTGCACCCGCTGCACTCTCTTTTTCCTCTGGCTCTGCCGAAGCTGTGCGTGCCAATTGATGCTTCTCAATGAGATCCAACGCCTGCAGCTGCAGCTCCACATTGCGCTGGGTCATCATGCGTATAAAGATCTTCAGATCATTTGCAGCCCAGATCTGGAATGATGGTAACAAATATAATATTTGCATGGGGCAGGAGTCTCCCCTGGAGTTACTCACCTGCTGAAAGAGCACGTGATGGAACTGAAACGGATTCTCGCCCGGGCCCTGCTGGCGGCCCTCGAGGCAGGCCATCTCGAACTGTTCCGGCGTTATGTGCATCTCCTCCATGAAGCTGCCCAGCATAAAGTCCACCAGATTCTTGTACTCCTCATGGATCTGGCGTATGTCCTCGTTGTTCTCGTCCAGCTGCAAGTTGGGATCAAAGACTGCAGCCACAAAATATTTTAGTCCATGACGTGGCCGATTTGCTTGCTCCTTGTCAATCTCTTACCCAAGGACTTTTGCTCGATGAACGTCTGCAACGGGGCATTCCAGACGGGTCCGTGCAGAAAGCAGACCAGGGAATCGAACACCCAAGAATCTTCAGCGGCCATAATACCAGAGCGAGCGCTACGCAATGACTGTAAAAATCAAATCGTTCCACAAATTCTAGCTAAAAATGTCGTCAGCTTGTGCGCAATGTTTGGCTCCTCGCAGTAGTTGCCAGGACGACTAGCTCCACCCCCACTCCTTGCCCACACACCCATTTCCATTTCCAAATTAGAAAAGAAAACCCATTGGGAAAGTTTTTTGCAATTGATGTTTTTGTATTTTTTTTTGTTGTTTTTTCTCTTTTTTTTTTTGTTTGTTTAAAAACTATTAAAAACTATGATTTTTAATTATACTCAATCATAATATAGAGATGTTTCAAATTATATATGTATGTATCGTATGTTAGGTATCGTGTAAGTGTATGAATGTGTGTGTGTGTGTGTGAGTTAGGATTAGAGGGTATTAGACAGCATATCATATACAATACACATTTGTTTATATATAAATACGATGTAATAAACTATAGTTTGTTGTGTATTTTCTGTTTATGCAAAAATTTCTCGTTATTTACGTTTATTGTTGCAGTTCAGTTGAAACAAACAAAAACAACAACATGGAAGGATATATCTATATTATTTCTTCATTCACTTTGCATTCAGTTTCTTTATGTGTATGCAATATGTACGTACGTTAGTTCATAGAGGGGGCAGGTGAAGGGGAATGGAGGGGATGTGAAGGGTGTCCGGCGTTCAGCTGCTCCAATGCAAAAACGGAAACCATTTCACGTCTCGTTTTTTTCGTTTCGTTTCGTTTATAAAAGTAAGCACTAAAATAAATATGTATGCAAAAGCTGCTCACAAATGGCAAATACAGTACAATTATTATTAACAAATAACTTTATTGTGTGTTGTGTATATGGTTGTTGTTGTTGTTGATGTTGTAGGCGCTTCTTTAACTATATTCGTTATATAAAAAAGTATCTTTAGGCTAAAACAAAAAAAAACCTTTACTTATATGGAAAAACGCAAGAAGACTTTTCTGGTAGTTTTTTTCTTTGTTTTTGTTTTCTTTTTATGCGTATTATTTAAACCCACTTGTAACTCTATTTTGTAATTATCATTATTTGTTGTAAATTACGTGTATGTGTGTGTGTATGCTGAATGCAATTTGTGGCGCAGCATTTCAAATGTACTCAACAAATTTATAAATGGTTTCAGAAACAAAATACATTCCCCCTTTAGCAATAAATCCTTCTAGTCCATTATTTTCCTTTCCTTTGTGTTTTCTTTGTTGTTTTGCTATTTTACAAATCCTTGCGCCTGTCAACTATATGCAAGTGTTCACGCTCTATAAGTAGCTTGTAATTCGATATATACGGGCATAACGCTAAATTATATACAAGGTTTATTCAATTATCCAGTTCGTATTGTTAAATAGGGCATTTTACATATATATGGCTTAACTATGAATGCACAAAACAAATTTCGTTTAGCTGGCTTCTGTTTGTGGGCATTCAAAAGGCAATTCGTTTACATAAATTGAATGAAATGAATTTAGCGCGTATTTTCAACAAATATTTTGACCCCCACTGGAGGTCAAAACTTCTGGAAATACAAAAGTCTTTAATATAGCTTACGATTAACGATTAAATAAGCAAAGTTAATTCACTGAATGTTAAATAAAGTTTTAGTTAAAGCAAAACTGATTTCCGAGTTTCCTTTCTAGTTTAACAGCGGTTGGCCTTGTAATACCCCAACATCGGCTACTCAGTGTATGTGAGTTATGCAGTACTATATAAATATGTGTAGTACTATACTTGAAATAATATGTTTGATATCTGTTAGCTTACGTCAAAAATTAAGATCTTCTGGCTAATATCTTTTGATTATTTTACAACTTAACATCTTTTGCTTAACATATGTATGTTACTCACACAAGAACTCAACAACTGTTAGGATTGTAGCAGTATTACAAGTCTGCGCTTAACATCATGTAATTACATTTAACAACTTAACAAAAGAATTACAATTGCTTTCGTAATACCCACAACTATGATATTGCACTAAAAAAAACGTTGTTACGTTTCTGTTCTGCACAAGATCAGCCAACTAAACAGGATTTGTTTTTGTTTTTAAGGGGGGTTGCTTATCTGTGTGAGCTTTTGTTGAGCGACTGCGTTTTGGGACAACTCAAGCACCGAACCTCAAACACTCCTCTCGCTGTTTTGCGCTGCCTTTCTTGTTGTTAATTTAGTTGTAATTTTAAGTTCTAAACGTATATTTATTTTGGTTTCTTTTTATTTCGTTTTTGTTTTTACTTTCTTTAAAGCACTCAAACACAACGCACACAAATGCAAAAAAAACGTATATGTTTTGTCGCTTCACTCGAGCAATTAGTGTGTTTTGTTTTTGTGTGCACATATACTCTATATTTTTATTATATTATATTCATATTTAAATATAGACATATATATATATTTATATATACATATATGTTTATATACACATATATAAATATATATACATGAATTTTTATATATATTATTTGATTTTAGTGTTTTTTGTTTTCGTTTTTCTTTTTTTTTAATTTAGTAAAGTAAGATTTTATAATTTCTTGTTTACTTTTTAGTTTTAGGTTTTTGTTTAAAATAAATGTTTATGCTAAAATTTACTTTTCGCTTGTTCTTACATGATTGCTTACAAGCAAAATGCCCCCCATCATGTCAGAGCGCCCCGAACTCTGACAAAGTTATTTAATTGTTCCTTGTTCTTGTTCGATCTTACATCGTACCGCTCTCTACCTCTTTCTCTCTCTCTCTCACTCGCTCCCTCTGTCACTCTGTGTGTGTGTGTGTGCCCTACGATTGTTGCTGCAGCCCTCTTGTTGTTGTGTTGTTGCTTCGCCCACTTGTCAACCCTTACATCCGTTGAGGAGTGAGTATACGTGTTTGTTGTGTGTGTGTGTGTATATATATGAGAAGTAGGTGTGTTTATACTATTTTATAATTGATGCCGCCTGATGACTGATGCCCAATAACTATGCAAGGCGCGCGCGCTTTTGTGCTTGGGGCCCATCCGAGTCCTCTTCCTCCTCATAATCATCCTCACCAGAATCGCTTTCATAGTCCACCAGCCCCTGTGCAGATAAAAATAACATTGTTACCATTCAGATTGTTCGGCTAACCTTGTTGCTTCAGTTACCTTTTTGGTGGCCTTATCGGCGTCATTGCCCGTTGTCGGTTCCGCGCTAAGCGCCGGCTTCTCCTCATTCAACTTAAGCACTGCATCGCTGGCATCTGTGGCAGGTGTCTGGGTCTGCGGCTCGCTGTTGTCCTCGCTGGCCACAGGAGTAGCTAGACTGGGCGTGCTGACTGCTGCCGTTACCGAGGCAGCCATGGCTGTTGCAATCGTCGATAAAAATTGAGACGCTGCCACAGCGACCACTGTTGCCGAATCGCACAGCGCCGTGGCTGCCGAAGATGTTGGCGACGCAGACGATGTGGACGTTTCCATTGGTGACGTGGATGATGCTGATACCGCCGTCGGCGACGATGTCGGGGAACCATTTGATACGGCAGACTGCGCAAGCTCCGAATTCTGCGGCACTACCGCGTTCAACTGTTGCTGCAGCTCCGCAATCTCGGATTGAGGCTGTTGGGGCTGCTGCTCTTGTTGTTGCTGCTGCTGCTGCTGCTGCTGTTGTTGTTGCTGTTGTTCTTGTTGCTGGCTTTCCAGTTGCGCCACAGCGGCTGCATTCGATGTGGAAGCGACGGCAGCTGCAGCGGCTGCTGCCACAAGTGTGCTATTCAACGACAACGTTGGCTGTTGCTGGAATGAGTGCTGCTGTTGTAGTTGCTGTTGTTGAAGTTGCTGCTGCTGCTGTTGTTGCTGCAGCTGTTGCTGTTGCTGCTGTTGTTGCAGTGCAATGTTGGCAGCGGCGGCTAACTGTACTGCAGCCTGAGCCTGCTCATCAACAGAGCTCGTCGCCTCAGGGCTACTGCCGCCACTTGCCGTCGGCACTGATACTGAGGTGGCAGTTGCAATCGCTGTGGAATTAAGATTGCCCAATAAGCCGACGCCATGCGGCGACGTGCTATGCGGCGGCGATGATTTTTGCTGTGGCGATTGATTTTGTGTTTGCTGGGTGCCATTTTTTTCGCTGACAGCTGCATAACATAAAATTGTTAAATGAATGGGTCACAATTCTCAAGTTATCTCGCTAATTTACTTACATTTCATCACATTGTTGTAAGTGTCGATTTCCTCGGAAAAGTCATCATCATCGTTGAACCACAGCTCCTCCTCCTCCTCCATTTGACGCTGATCACGACGGAAACGACTGCTGCTACGTATCATTGGCAGAGTTCTAATCAAAATAATGCCAAAGTTGGAACAACAATGCCTATGTATTGTAAAATTTATTATTTACCCATCGGTGCGATTTTCCAACTTATCGCGGTCTTTCAGCCTATCCTGGTACTGATCATAACGATTCTTTAGGTATTTAAATGTTTGCACATATTCGATTTCATCAAATATCTTGCTAAAGTTCTCCACGAAGTATACGCACAGCGTGCGAATATCTTCAAGTTTTATAAACTCAAATAATTCCAGTATGGCCGATTCGAGCAGATTATAGCGACCATTGTTACGAATAAAAGCATCCACCACAGGCGCGAATAGATTGCACTTGACAATGTGTCTAAAATCGAACGAAGTTATAATTAAAATTATATGATAATTATTCGTTTAAACTCCTCGTCAGTTATATTCACCTGTTGTAGAACTCATCTTTGAGTGCAATTATCTTGCGCAGCAGCCGCAAGGCCCCAAGTACAAGGAACGTATGTGTGCTCTTCATCAGCACTAGAATTCGTTTGAGGAGATCTTTTTGCAACAAGAAATTCTTAATATGATAGCTATGATGTTCCACGCAAAATGACAAAATGTCCAGCACAATGCCCAAGAGCTGGGCAGTCAGATAATCCTCGTTCAGTGGACGATCGCCCATTGTATTAAGCATTAGAGGCGCTGTGTTCAATATATAAAAATAATTAGAAACTTGGACTTATCCTCAATAGTTTGTTGAACATTTACCAACTAGCGTTTGGACGCTGTACTTGTAGAAAAAGTTCAGGAAATCTCCTTTCTCAGTCAACATATTTTCCGGCTCAAGCAATATCTTAATAATGCCCATCAACTGCACGGCTATGCCCAATTCCGGCTCAGAATCATTTAGCATCTGTTCAATGGCAATGTTGAGCAACATAGGCTCCTGTAAAATACCAATATAACAAAACTAAGCTAACTTTACTTATAGATTTTAAAACTAATTTCACTTACGCCCTCCGGTCGATTGGCCTGATTCAAAGTGTAATTGCGCACCACCAACGGCGAGAATTCAACAATGGCCGTAAGTATATCGATGGAAGCCGACTTGGTTTTTGTATCGTTCATGACCAAAGTCAGCTCAAGAGCCTGCAATATTCCCAGACAGGTGAGTGTCTTGTAGAACGAGTCCTTGCCCTGTGGCTGCAAATTTTGTGCGAAATTGCAGAACTCTTTCAGAAACAGAACTATATCACGTCGCTTGGCATCGGTAGTTTCTTGATCCGTGAGCAGTGTGAATAGATCTAGCAGGAAACGTTCATCTTCCTGTATGAGCGTAACAATCTCAACCTTGTTGAAGAATATAAAGCTTGATAACGTGTTCAGCATATTATCCTCGACAAAGACTGATGGCGTAGGCAGTATGATATCCTGAATATACTGCACGCGAAACGTCTGATGAATTTTTGCTAATAGATCCATATTCTTGATCGGCACGGCTTCGCGAAATTTAGCCAATTGCTTCAGATACTGGCGATGCTTTTTGGGCTGTGCATGAGACGGATCATACTCCAGGCAGCCGACCACATCGAAAATTGTATCTTCCGCAAACATTATCTCGAAAAGAGCATTTTTGTTTAACAAGAAAATGTTCTTGAATATTTCAAACAGATGATGCAGCCCCTCAGTATTCTCGAGATCCTCGCAAGTGCGAAACAGATTCAAAAGCTTCTTAATGTAGTTCTCCGATTCCAGGGCCATGGACAATTTCTCCTTTCGCAGCGGCGTAGAAAGGCAACTTTGTATTGTCTCGGATATGTCCTCGAGTCGCGACAGCTCACACGGCGGCAACTCGATTGGTGGTGCTGTGTCTGACATATCCTCAAAACGCTCATCCTCTGACTCTTCAACAATGTCCTGCGTTATTTCAACGGATGGATCTTTGCCCTGCACCTGTATACAACATTAACATAATTCGAATGTAGGTCATCCAAATATAAATAGAAATTGAGGAATTATTAAATACCTGACATATCTTCTCCCATATCTCATCACAACCAGCCTTCTCCTGAAAGCTCAGCGCCAGATCGAAGTTATCGCCCTCTGACCAGACAATAAGCGTATCCTGTTGCTTCTGGTAAGCCGTATCCGGCTGTATCTTACTCTCCAACAATAAGGAACCATCTGATTCAGCACGCACTAGCAGCGATGTGCCCTTGAGACGCTCCACATATGTCGAGGAGACGTGTCCAGTACCACGGTCATCCCATTGCCGTTCAGCATTCAGTGCATAGAGCTTAACACGTCGGCGGGTGTCAGTCGTCATGGTTTGGCTTCAGAGGTATTTGTGCTTTCCGCTCTTTTGCTGTTGTTGCTTTTATAGTTGCTTCACAAAAATTACGCTTTACTTTCAGCTGTGCCTTTAATCGTTTTTGGCTTGTAGCCTCGCCTGGGATAGTCAACTAGACTACTTACAATGAAATTAGGATTTTGAATTTTGAATTCAAAGTTCGACTTGCATATCCATGTTATATTGTTATGCTGTGATCTGTGAGGCGTGCAAGGCAAAACTGAAAAGAAAATTTTAGAACAGAGAGAAACAATGATTAGTGCTATAGGAAACACAATTTTAATTTGAAACAGAAACAGAAAGTTCTGTTAGAAATTTTTAAATGTCATTTACGTTATTTAAACTGAATATATCGATATACATATTTCGCAATGTATATTGATACACATTTTTATTTACTATCAATCGATTCGAGTGTAGTTGAAATTTCACAACACTAAATGAGTAATCCCATACATATGTATGTATACTTTTTGTACTCAAGCAATCCCAATTACGATAACAACAAATGCGTATCAAAACAGAAGATGCGAAAACAGACAGCATGAATGAAATTGTGAAAGCTTCGTTTTATGTTGATGCATGTGCACTGTATGTGTGAGTGAGCGTACAAACACTTGCATATGTGTTTGCGTATGTATTTGTAGAGAAATACAAACTATTCGCAAAACGAAATGCCAAAACTATTTTTGCCCATTCTGTTTACAAACAGAAAAAAAAAACGATGCCAATTGAGAGTATTCGAATAGAAGATACCGTATACTGAGGTTTTTAAGGGCTGCAGAGAGTGCGAGAGAGTGAAGAATTAACATGAAAATGTAAAGAACAAAGAAAGCAATAACTTTGCAATTTATTAAAATTAAATTATCCTTTCCAGGTAATATGAACATCATCATGCCCTTTACCCATATTATGCGACTATTTAGTGTTCAATTCACGTTTTCCAAATCTCTCCACAACATGCTGCCGTTTGTTATTGTGCGTTTCTGTCTTTTCTGAAGTCTCCACATTGCAAACTATTATCGCGCTTTCGCCAAAGCGACCCACAACAGCAACGACGAGCACAAACACGCGCGCGACAAAAACAAACACAAAATGAGTGGTCAGAACGAGAGAGAGCACAAGAGAGGAAAATAAGCAACACACGCACACAGAGAGGGAGAGAGAGAGTGCCAGCAGTACATTTCACTTGGCTATGTGTGTAGCAAGTGGGTGGCGGCCGGCTAGCGGGGTAAATTCGCGGCGACAAGATTAGATTATCAAACACACACACACACACACAAAGAAACGCTGTTGCTATAAAGTACAACGTACGACGTACGCACAAGGCAACAAAAATCAATGAGCAAGTGTATAAAAAAATGTGTGTAAACAGAATAGATATTTAGCTCATAGCAATCAAAGAGGCAAGGTCTACGTCATCGTCAGAGAAAACTGAGGAAATCCACCTTTGTCTAACAAAAACGTTTAAATGTAATATATAACCGTACATACACATATGTATATGCATATACACACATACACAGATTAATAATTAATAATAATAACAATGTTAATACATATAGGTATATTATATAAATTAACTTGAATATTTCGACATTTGCATTATGGCGCCCCTCACCTCGTGCGCTGCTTTGATAAGGCGCACTCTAATCTACGTTTATATTTCGCCTCACGCGAACGTGTATCAAAACAAAAGCACCAATTAGCAAGCAAACACTAATACAAAATGGGCATTTACGCAACCAACGCAATTGCTTTCGAACTCATTGAATAAGTTCACAAATACGCACACTACAAAATATTCACATACACACACACACACATATGTAATTAGGTTCATTGTCTCCGCAAGCTGTGTGGGCGGGCGACCAATTCGTCTAGGATCAGCATGCAAATTGGTCAACGGTAATAATTGCCACATGCTTCATCGCAAAAAAAATAAATAAAAAGCACGAAAAGAAGAAAAATAACTACACAAAAAACTCATTTGTCTCCCAGCAACAAAGTTCAAGTTAAAGTTAAGCCCAGCTGCTGAGAGCGCTTATTGAAATGGGAGCGGGAGAGCGTCAATGGCAATAAAAAAAAACCAAATGAAAAATATTGACGCTGCCTGCAAGTGGCATAAAAAATAGGGGCGAGGCTGGGGGCGTAAGCCATGCCTGTGTGTATGTGTGTGTGCGCGCGAGTGTGATGCGTGCGCGCAAACGAAACGGAAAAAAGTACATAAGCCAAAAAGAAGCAGGACAATGCCAATACGCATCAGTATGTGTGTACATTGTGTCTGTATGTGTGTGTGATGGATCTCACACAATGAATGGCCCGCTAAAGCTGGTAGAAAACGAACGCGTCGTATCTCGTCCGATGTATGCAGAATACGCGCGCATATGTATGTGTGTATGGCTGTGCTTTGCATTCCTGTTTTGGGGTGGGCAAAAAAATACCAGGAACTGCAATGTAAATACATATGTACATCTTCTTTGCAGGCATGTCCCGTGTTTGGTAACTCGACGAAAATTTGCGGAACAATTTTTGGCTTTTGACATTCGATTTTTTATACGTTCGAAATACAAACACCGATACTAACGCATACACACAAACACACATATCAGCCTTCCAGTGAATACATCGTTTTTTGGTCCGTTTCTTTTCCTTTCATTCACTAAATTATTGCGAATGACACACGCAAAACAGAATTGCAAAAAATTGCAGCGTATATCTGGCAAAGAGTATGGCTAAAGAAAAATGCCGTCTACGCTCGCACTTTTTCACACACTCGCACACACACACTCACGGAAACACAACGTCTCGGTCAAATTGAATGACGCATGCATTATTTGAAAAGATTGTGTTTTGATTTTGCGATAGGCCCGATATTATTTGTCAAATATTGCATAGCGGTAAACGTTTTAAGATTTAATTAAACGCACACAAGATATATAAAAACAACGGGTACACACCACAAAACTACACAGGGCCGTCACGTACACACACTAAAACAGAGAAATACGGCAAGCGCAAAATCCACCACATGTAAAGCGGCAATCTTCGAATTCAACACACTACAAAATAGAAGAACCATAAACTCAACACGGTGAACGTTTTGTTGCATAAAGTACAAGTTGTATCCATAAATGAAAACAATTAACACCCAAATGTGCAATGTTGATGAAGACGCACCGCATACTCAAGCTCGATCGACTGCTTCATGTTTTACGATTGCGTTAAATATTCGTATTAAGATGAACTTCAGAATCAAGTATAGTTACACACGAAAAATACACATGCACACCTAAACGCACATACACACGCAAACACTCACACACACACAAGCTCAGTCACAGAAGCCGCAAGAGGGCAACTGCGGTGGAAGCGAAAGCGCGAGGGGTAATATTCAATCTTGACCAAAAAATGTATGCACTCACGTTGCAATTCCTTGTTTACGCTACTGGCAGCACCTATTATCAATCGTTCAAAGTATATACAATTTGCGTTTGCGCATATTTACTGTTTTCAACACCTTATTTATTAAACATTTGCAATTCAACTCTTAATTTAAACTTTTTCGCGGAACGGACGCTGTTCCAACCGAGACGACGACGATTTTGTGCTGTGTCGACGCCATATTGTATTTTCTATACATCGATACCGCAATCGATATGCATTTATCTATCGATGCACAAATGTAAACAAAAGTATGACCGTTCCGCTCAACAGTGCTGCACAATAATAGTAGTTAGTGCTGCAAAGTGGTGTTTGAAATTTTTTTTATTTATTTATTGCACTCGGCATATTTTCAATGGAGCCGACTCGGCATAGATATTTTAGTATCGCAGCGAAATATAATGGTAACTCAGTGGAGGACTTAGAGCTTACCATTCAGAAATATGGGACCGATGTAGTTCGCATACAGTTATTAAACCGTATACATGGTCAACAATGTGCAATTCAATTTAAGCGATTATTTGTACTATTAGGCTTGGCGATTGTATATTTCGCCCTTGCTCTGACAGTGAGCCAAGGGCCTGCCAGATTAGGGCAGGCTCACATTCTATACCCCACCTTACTATGGCTAGCCATGTCCGTTTTAATATTGCGCTCCGCTCTCCAGTTGGTACACTCTGAGAAGCTCTTCTACAGCTGGGACATGGCTCTGCAAACGGAAACAGTTCGAACTTTTGGACGTAAATCGGTGCTCTGCGTGCAACGCGGACATCTGCATGACATGGTTCTCAACGAGGTCATAGAGGATGTAGGTTCGGCTAACGTTTAAGTAACAAGGCATAATTATTTAAAATCATTTTATTTTACTTACAGTTAGACATAAAATATGTTCTCATATTGCGTACAAAAGGCAGCATATTTAAAGAGCGCCCCATAATACCCCTATTCAATGTGAGTTTTTTTGCGAGGTTTTGTTCCTTAATGTATGTTAACTTATTTACATAAATTTAAAGAGTCTTTCGCCGTCCTTCGAGTGCCTGCAGCATATTCAACACATTTTACATGGCTATTGGCTCAATAACAATAAGAATAAATCGGATCAGTCTTGCAAAAAAGATCTACCCTCTTCGGCGGCATCGTACAGCTCCATCAGTTTATCCAACTATAATTAAAACATATTCCCTAATTTAATTTCACCAAAGACTCAATATATGTATGTATGTAGTTACTTGTAGCATGGGTATGTATTCTTCAGGTTCCTTTTGCTGTGGCGGCAATTTGGGAATATTTAATTGAACGTCAACTCGTTTGAAATCACCGCGTATCTGCAAAAAATAAATAACATACATATATATGTACATAACACAGGTTTTATTCCTTTACCAAATTGTTGAGGTCCGTTGTATAGGCATGTTTTGCCATTTTTGAATAGAATTCCAAATAGACTGATTTGCTAAAAATTAAATCGTCTTGTGCCTTGCGCAGAGCTTGCACCTGTTGTAGCGTTAATTCTATATAAACATTTTGAATTACTAGATTTTATTTTATGTATTTTCTATTACGCTTCACTTACTTTCCATGTCGGTTTGTTTTTCCTTGGCGTCCCTTTTTTCGAATATATGCCAGTGCTATATATCGATAAGTTTTTTGTGCTGGCTGACAGCACTGAATCGTCAGCTGATGTCATATGCCCAGCAAAATAAACAAAACTTTATACATATATTTGTTAACATTCACGTGTAACATTGACTTGTATTTAGGCAGGCAAATTATCAAAGTTGTTTTTATTATTCCTTATAATGTTTTATACATAGTTCGATTTATTTTATTTTTTTTTTTTACAAAATTAACTTCTTTGGTTTTTGGGTTTTAAATGTTTGATAGTGCTGTGAATCGGTCCGTTTTTAAGCAGTCAGCTGACGTCATTTGCCCACATAATAATAAACAACTGCCGTTTGTTTATGTGCAAACTTAACGTTTCGTTAATGGTTCTTTAAAGTATTGTAACGTTGGCAGAGCTGTGACCTTTTGAAACGAGCGTATACACCTGAAACTAAAATGCAAAGAAGCTGTATTAGAAGTTAGCTTTATTTCACGATAAAACAATAATATTTGTGAGTCAAAATATTCATAAGCTAAAAATACGCACTCATATGGGTGTGTCCGCGGACAGCACATGGTCAAAGCATTTGCCTAATGTGTATGAATTAATCTGTTTCAGTTTCCCCCATTTGGCCACCTTCTATACTACCATGAACCGTTCGGAATCTATACCCATACGGCGTGATCGCTCCTTTGACAGCGTTCTCAATCGTTTGCTGCGGATGCGCTCACAAAATCATGAGAGCTTTCGGGCTGCTATGTATAATTTTCTAATAGCAGCAGGTGTAGCTGCTTTTGTGGCTGTCTGCATCATCCTGGGCCCCTTTGTACGGCCTCTGCTCTGGGCCTTTCTCATGGGCGCCGTCTTGTTTCCATTCAAACGCAGGCTGGCCGAATTGCTCAACAATTGGTTTCAGCGCTTAGAGGAGCGAGATTCAAATATGCTCGTCTCAATTTGTCTGGCGCCCCTTGAGGCCACCGAGCATTGCGGTCGCTTGCTAATTAGTTGGCTCTGCCAGCATTGGCAGCTCCTTTCGTCCGGCTGCGGTGTCGCTGTCTGTGTTAAGCTGCTCGTTTTGTATGCACCCAGTGGATTCCTGATGACCCTATGGCGGTGGATAACCTTCTCGCACAGCTTGTTTGTCACTATCATTGGCTTCCTCAATGCTTATGTGGTAGGTGATTTAATCAATGCATGGCTTTTAATTTTTCCTTCATTTCCATCCCCACACTACACTTGCAGCTCATAGTTTTGATTGTCATATACCTGTCCTCCGTACACTTCTTCTGGAAACCGGAGAACAAAGCGCACTTCGTAGTTGCCGGGCAGTCCATGTGGATAGCGATTGCCAGCTATTTGTGTAGCTTTCTGGGCGCCCTTCAGGTGCCGGCTCTGTTGCTAGTGATGAGCTACGTAATTGCGTCCACAGCGTATCATCTGCAGACGACTCATGATCATGACTCCAGCTCCTTTTTGGATCGCCTGCAAAAGCTGTTTGATCGAAACGATTTCGAGAAATCCCTGAGTATTTGCTGTAAAGGTGCTGGCGAGCCGTCGCTGCAATCTGATGTAGAAGATATCTCATTGAGCGAGACCGTAGACTCCGAGGACACATTCGACGCGAAGCCAGCGGAAGAGACTGAAGGACATCAAAGCGATACATATTTTAAGTTTTTGTTCTATGCCTGCCTTGGCACCTTCTTGTATCGCAATATTTGGATGTTCATCCTGGCTGCGGTGCCGGTGTTTCTTCATCTACTGCATACTGCCGGCAGCTATACGGGAATAACTCAGTTTGTGTGCAACAAGATCAATGATGCCTATCACGGCGTGCGGGTAAGTTCTTCCATCATATATTTATATATGAATATATTTACCTATTTTAACTATATTTCACATTTCAGAGCTGGGCCTTGGATCATCATTCAGCTGTGTTGCCTTTATGTTTGCCTGGCGTTTTGGAGCTTAACTACAAGATCAATAGCATTGTCCGGGATTCATTGAAATCATCTGTGGAGTCTGTTACATCCATTCTAATGATCATACTCATGTTGCTCATAATCATATTTCTGAGTGTTTTCTTTTGCGTCAACATCTATTCAGAGACAATTGAGGTCGCATATCTGGGCAAAGATCTAATTAACAAGACAATCACCGATCGTCCTGAGCTAATTGATATTTTGCCAGCCAATATACAAGCGTCCATTGATGATGCGCTTGACAATGCGCATCATTATGGGCGCCGTAAGATTGAGACCTACATTGATGATTGGTTGGCCGATGCGGACAAGGTGCATGCCACCAAGTTGAAAGAGCAAATCCTCGATGTCTGGGATAGACTCATACAGTATTGGATTGATTTCAACAAGGCGGGCACCTCGTATGGACCGCGCGTTCCAACCGACGCCCTAAAGAGCACCTTTGGCGAGATTGTTGATAATCCAGGTAACTATCACCGAAGCGGTTTTGGTTCTTTTCTGTTATTTGTTATCATTTGTCCAACGTTTATGTTTTGAGTTTTTGATTTTAGCTCAGCGCTAACTATTTTTTACAAAGCTCCACAAAGAGCTGCGTTTGGCCCTAACCTCCATCCTGTATTATTTTTTCGTATGCGTGAAAACAAATAACTCATTACATGTTGCATTTGCTAACCCATGGTATTTTACTTTAACCAAGGACATTTTAAAGAGCTAGTTTTAGTGGCAAAACAGGGCATCATTGGCTGGGCACAAAGCAACACCCAAACGATATTGGAGGTCGCCGAATCCCTATGGCATATCATACGCACCAATCTCTCGATGATAATGGGCGTTACGGGTGAGATATTGTCGCTGCTGCTGTCGGGCGGACAGGCGTGTATTGAATTCATATTGGATATGGTGAGCATTACCTTCTCATATAGACATAGATCTTGCCTAACAACATTGATTCTCTTCCAGATTGTCTTCTTCACTGCCTTGTTCTATCTGCTATCCAGCAGCCAGGAGAAATATGCGCCCATGCAGATAACCAAATACATGGGATATTCAGCCTCGGGCATCAAGGTCGCCGATGCATTGGAAAATTCCATAACGGTTGTGCTTGTGTCCATGTTCAAGTGCTCCACCTTTACGGGTCTGTTCACGTGGCTGGTGCATACGGTGTTTGGTGCACGCATAGTCTTCCTGCCCTCCGCTTTGGCTGCGTTGCTGGCGGCGGCTCCATTTTTAGGCAGCTATTGGTGTGCTGTGCCCGCCTTTTTGGAGCTTTGGCTGGCACAGGATCGTTTCTATGCGGGCCTCATACTGTTCCTATTACAATTCTTTGTACCCTCGTCCTTCGAGACTGCCATCTATGCGGATCTTAAGGGGTATGTGAAGTTGCTTCTCAGAAAGTTCAGAAATCATAACTCAATCTTTATAGTGGAGGTCATCCCTACCTCAATGGCCTGGCCATAGCGGGCGGTATGTACTGGATTGGCTGGCAGGGTGCCATATTTGGGCCACTCATGCTCTGCTTCTTCATTGGCCTCTTCGAAGTGGCCACGCTAGCCATGCGCACGAGTCAGGAGCCCAGGTATGTTCGGAGCAAGCTAAAAGAAGCTCTCTTTCTTTTTGTATGCAAGTTAAGTTATTTTATTTATGTCGACAACTTTGCGGCTGAAGAATATAAGTAAGTTTTTATTTTCCTTTGTTAAATGTGAATTTGTTGCTATTGCTGAATGTTTATACATCAATTTTGGAACCTTATTTAATCAATTTAAATTTACAGACGCAGCTCGGATGAGGAGACGCGCACTACGTAAGTCCGTGGCAAGGCTTCCTTGGATGTTACTCGAAATGCAAAACTAACAATCAACTATGGCTAAGCTTCTAAGCCTCTCTGACCAACTGACTAATCTATTCAAATTTCGCGATTTTAGTTGTTTTCCCTTTTGCGTTTTGCTTTTACTTACACTTAATTTTTGTACTAAATTTTTAAGTATACAAATATTTGAGTCCGTCTCTTAAAAGCTGTGTATGCAAAGCAAACGAATTTTACTAATGTGTTTAGATTGAAGTTTATATACCCTTGCCCTAGGTAGACATTTGTTGTGACATAGGCGACTAGTGTATACCCTATAATCTCTCAGATATGTCTTGTGACATAGGTAAATACGTATACTTTATGAAATGCATTTCCTTAATATCTTAGCATCATCCTTAATCTCTTTAATGTGTAGCCAAACTAAGTTTTGAAATTAATATAATATTTATTAAACAATTTCAAGGGTATATAAGCTTTTTAGTTTTAAGCAAACAGTTATGTACATCAATAACATTACCTCTACGTTTCTTTTGTATATATAAAGAGAGAATTGTTTAAAAGCTTGATTCCACAACCGTTAACCGGTTTCCTTTTGGAAATACGTAATAATTATTTTGTGCTCGCTACGAATGTGATTTCTTTAAGCTTATGTTAATTAATTTTGTTGCAAATAAATGAGTGTTACGTACTAAACAATACAGAAGAATACTGTGAAGACTCGCTGATGAGAACTGACTTGGTTAATTTTGTATAATTTAATCTTTTGATGTGCTATAAATAAATAAAAGAATGTTTATTATATG